CTTGTCCGTGTCATTAGACAGCACTGTCACTTTCGGAGTAACCAATTCTGGTACCATTATGGAAACTAAATGCGTTTTTCAAAACCTTTTAACGACAGCTTGCCTATTTAAGCAAACAGTGATAGATTTTCATACTCGCTCGGTTTCATTACCAGCATTGGGGCAAAATAATTGGTGTAGTGGATCGAACAAATCTTATGAACCAACAAGAAGAGCCACATGGACTATGGTCGGATGTGAGAAATTGTGACTCATGCACTCACAAAACAAGAAATAAAATTGGCTGATTTAAACAAGCCAAGGGACTATATTATATGGTGAATGAGAAATGAGTAACAAGCAACTTACAATTTTTGCACGAACCTGACGGGACTCAACTGGGATCTAAGTATGACTATGATTAGGTACGAGTCCCGATGGGTCTCCAATGTGACTCGATTTGGAATACCAGTCCTTGCAGGCTGAGCTGCTATTGCGTAAACTGGGAGTCCACAAAACCAATCCTATATGAACGGGAGGATGTTGGTCCACACGGTTCGTTTGATTGCATTGACCGGTGCAATTGAAATGGTTGTACTCTGAAGTCGATGAAATAATCCGCACGGTCTGAATAACTTCCGCATGAACTCATTTATGTGTATGAAAACAGCACAGATAGCCGAGAAAATGAACTGTGCAACTGGTTTGAAAGTGCCGGTGGTTTTAGACAACAATGCGCTACTTTTCCGTTCATGGTTGATTCTACAATATATGAAGTGGGGAAGAATATCCTTAGTGGTCTTCATATTGCTGAGAAGTCGGAGAAAATGTACACAAGAGAATTACTGCTTCGGCAGTTACGTAATACCTATTGGACTGCGTCTCTCACAAAGTCAGTCCAGTCGGAGTGAACTGATTTCACCTTAAATTGATGTAGGCAATTTTGAGTGAACCATCTTCTCTCATCAGGAAAGTTTATTTATTCCCTCAGTTGTCGACCGAATGAACGAGCCCGGCGTTAATCGATCTCCGTCGTTCCGGTAAAAAGCGATACATGTCGAGAATTATGAACGTTTCTTCATGCTCAGGTGATGTTTGAACGGTTGGGTTCAGCCTAGGCATTAATGTGCAAACTTCTATGAAGTTAAGGTTAGCTGGAGTTACAATACTTTTTTATAGTTAATACGACTGCCTTTATGCTTGGGACGTAGAGAAGCACAGTTAACAAGATAATCAACAATGGTAACGAATATACAGAAAGAACTAGAAATATTTCAGCCACCCAGCAAAACCAAGTCTGAACGCATTTACAGACTTTTAGATATAAATAAGATTATTTCATTGTAACTTCCAGATTGATTACCGCATTATGTCCATAATGTCAACGCCAACGACCTGACACCCACACCTGACACATACAGCTTATTTCTTCTCTGCTCAGTTTCACCGCATGTTTCTCATCCTTGATGCGTCATTTCTAATCCACATAGCAAAAGTGCAATGGCCAATGGAACCACAAGAATGAAGCTTGTTTGACGATGTGCAGTTGTACGGTATTGAACAGCAGTGTTTTGGCGCATGGTAGATGAATGACGATCATCTAGGTGCTGCATCATGTACTCGTCGTTTCTTGACAAAATGAGTAAGTACTATGAGGTACTATACCTTCTGACTTAGGCCAAGCCAAACTACCCACTTAAAGATTGCTATCAAAATTGACTGATCACTGGAACTTATTGGTAATGCCTGGTTCAAACAACGCCGGTATGGTCCCAGGAATAAATCAGTTATTAGTAGAAGTGTCCCCGATCAAGTGCATCACAAATCATTACTCACTGATTTTCGTGAGCCTCATGGAGGTCAAACTTGTTCATGTTCGGCATCGAATATCAAGTGCCCTGAGTCCGAATTCCCGCTACTTATGCATAAAGTGATACTTGTCTAGGATCCCAAATTTTGGATTAGTATGTTCTGCAGATAAGGACACCACCTATCTTCCATTCTATTCAATTGATGAGAGATTTTGTTGGCGAACACATGTTAAACACAATGGTAACAGTGATCAAGATCTCTTTTCTATCTGGCATACATCAATCTGGTCAACTAGATTCTCAAAGTTCAGGGACCAGTTAGAGCATCCGTTGCAAAGAGTTCAATACCGTGTGTCAATGCGGGTTATTCGGAGACATACGTAGCACACCATGAGCGAACTGGATTGGTATACATCACAATGAAATCATGCCCACCTGTCCAGTTTTCCCAATCTATTTGTTCAACTGGGCTTATAAGTAGGTCCTTTAACATCGAAACCTATAGTTTTTTCTTCTACGGGGAATGGCCATGTCTCTACACCATACAGTGTGGTATGGGCTACGTGGCTAAAATATACACTCGACGCTTCCCAGACAGCAAAGTGGCTAATCAAACCGTGGTTGTTTTTCGTAGGGCGAACTTAAAACGTTCAACAAGTGAGAAAGAGATTGTACCGTTAATGCCTGATGATGTGTGCTCAATCTCTGGGCATTTCAACTTTTGAGTTTCCCCCTCTCTCCGAACACCAATCTTTTACTCTCACTATTAGGCTTTACAAAGAAACGTTGACTGCGTGGGATGACGCGAATGCCCAACTACAATTTACCTCATCCAAATTGGCTAAACAGCGAGCAATGCTGCGGGATTTGCACAGTCAACAGGAACAGCTGACTCAGGACGTGAAAAAAACGAACGCGGAGTTGGACATTGCAAACGCACAGAAGTCAGTTTTCCCAGAATGGTGCAGATTATAATTATATCATATCACATTTCATCTGATTTGGTTCTCTGGAAATACAGTTTAATTGTGTCATAAAAGACAGGCAAAATTCCGTCGGGAAACTCGTCCGAATCCCGTTGACAGCTTTTGTCGCACGCTAATGCTGGGTCATGTAATGATCTCCGTGCCGTTTATTCTTTCCAAGCTCAATGATGCTCCATGAAGAGAATGATTGATAGATGTGAGTAATATACATAGAGTCGAAGGAAGACTTTTGGTCGATAAAGTATGAATTTATCTGTGTGGTATACAGACCTTCAAACAGTAGGGTGGACGGGCTTGAACATCTTACCTCATAGGACGTTATCTCCTGGTTTTCATTAATAACAATAGAATAGCGCTAACATACCAGTTTTTGCATATTTTGTATAGACTAATAGTCCGCTTAGTAGTCGTAGTGAATGCCAGAGACGAAGGAGCACTGCTCTAACTTGAAAATAACTATCGGAGAGACCCGATGGAAGACAAAATATAAGGTGTGCTTTTGAGGTCTTTCAACCGCCTCTGTAACCTATTGGCACTGAAGCACCGAAAACGCAGGCTCATCTGTTAAATGAACTGATGCGAATCACCCTATTTTTCAATGTTTTACTTACTGTTTTACTTATTGAATATGCAATCACAAAATTATTACATCACGGCGAGGAAGAACCACATTTCAGCAGGATAACATGAATTCAGTTATTTCGGGTACTCTCAATCAACTGCATACGTACAATGACAATCAAGGTTATAAAACAACAACAAAGGTTATGGGACAAATGAAACACATCAATTGGGCCAATCACAGGACAGGGGCAAAGGTCACACAGTCAACCACGGCGAATGAACACATGACGGGGTTCAGTCTTACCAAGGCAGGGCAAGACTGGCCACAAAGTCTAATTGTTTACACAAATTGGGTTTAAGCCGTCGAATGGCGGAGGCTTCAGCAAACTGAAGTAGACGATGGTGTTGTTGTCTACTTATGATCCTAAAGGACTTGCTAGGCTCCACACACAAGTTGCAGTCTAATATGTGGCGAGTAATCGAGCTTTTAAAAACTTTACTACCGTTCAATATCCAAAATCCACTGGGATTCTCTCCGGGAACTTCGTCGAAATGAAAATGTGGTCATCTTAAGACCGGATAAAGGATCAGGTGCAGTCCTGTTGAACAAGCAAGATTACATCGAAAAGATGCTGTCTATTCTATAGAATGGTGCCCGTTTTGTAGAGGAAAACTCGAAACGGGATAAAACTGCAAGCGTTGAACAGAAAGTAACAAGCATAATAAAACAAATTGTTTCAAAAGGCTTGATCGATAACAAAACTGCATTTTCCTTGAAGCCTCGTGGGTCACGCCTTCCCCGTCTTTGTGGTCTCCGAAAGATTCACAAGGATGCTGTTCCGCTTAGGCCGATTTTGTCGATGGTTGGTGCACCGCATCAGAAACTGGCTCGTTGGCTATCGAAGTTAATCAAACCCATTCGTGACAAACTATCAATCTGCAGTTTAAAAGACTCCTGGAGTTCGTGGAGAGAGTTGGGAATCTTAATGTCTCCGGTAAAAAATGCTTTCCTATGATGTTTGTTCTCTTTTTACGAATGTCCCAATCGAAGAGACCATTGACATAGTGTGCCAGCACGCCCATACAGTGAACTTTCCACCAGATCTACTTAAATCTTTGCTTCTATTGTGCACAAAAAACGTACAGTTCTCTTTCAATGGAAAGTTATACAGACAAACAGATGGTGTGGCAATGGGTAGCCCACTTGGACCTGTGCTAGCTGATATATTTCTGGGGCGCTTAGAGACCACAAAACTTCAAGAGTCCATAAAAAATCTCATCTATACACCCGATACGTTGATGACACGTTTGTCGTTGTTGAAAATGTCGATCAAGCAAATCAACTGTTGGAGGACATGAACAGCTGCCACAAGGATCTTGAGTTTACAATCGAGCACGGATCGGGCGACACTTTTCAATTCCTCGATGTACACCTAACGAGTAGAGAAGATGGTAAACTGAACCGCTCCGTGTTTCATAAACCAACACAAACCGGTCAGTATTTGAACTTCGAAAGTTACTGCCCTATAACTTACAAGCGTGCCCTCGTTTGTACTTTATTCACACGAGCTCGTCGAATTTGTACAGAAGAGTCCTTGGACAGCAATCTTCTTTCAGTTCAGTCGACTCTACTCGAAAATGGATACCCCCTGAAGTTCATCAAAAGGTACGCAGAAGACATAACAATTAAACAAAAATACCCAATGCCCGCCAAAACGAAAATTTACCTGACCATCCCGTTCAAAGGAGACGAAAATGACAGACGTCTCCAGCGACGAATAAAACGAATAACACACAGCACATTTCATGCAGGTTCACTAATCATTCTGCACAAAACCAAGCGTCTGCTCATGGAATCGAATTTGGACAGGCCTGATCCTCAAGTTACCTCCTCTTGTATTTATCTATTCGAGTGTACTTGCGGTAGCAAGTACGTTGGACGAACTGAGAGAAGGCTGTCCGCAAGGATTTCCGAACACATCCCGAAGAATCTAGCGTTGAAAGGAAATAAAGTTTTTAAAAGCTCGATTACTCGCCACATATTAGACTGCAACTTGTGTGTGGAGCCTAGCAAGTCCTTTAGGATCATAAGTAGACAACAACACCATCGTCTACCTCAGTTTGCTGAAGCCTCCGCCATTCGACGGCTTAAACCCAATTTGTGTAAACAATTAGACTTTGTGGCCAGTCTTGCCCTGCCTTGGTAAGACTGAACCCCGTCATGTGTTCATTCGCCGTGGTTGACTGTGTGACCTTTGCCCCTGTCCTGTGATTGGCCCAATTGATGTGTTTCATTTGTCCCATAACCTTTGTTGTTGTTTTATAACCTTGATTGTCATTGTACGTATGCAGTTGATTGAGAGTACCCGAAATAACTGAATTCATGTTATCCTGCTGAAATGTGGTTCTTCTTCGCCGTGATGGAATTCGTTAAGGGAACTGGATGTAAAAAGTTATTAGGAATTGAGAAACCGTTCAGGAAAAGGCTGTCATACAGCAAATAAGTCTCGCAGCGGTGGTGGACTTGAAACACGCGTCCTCCGGGGTGATAATCTGGTGACCGTTACCACCGGGCCAGTACCGCACAATGGGACCGTTTTGTTGAAGTGATTTATTACCCGGTTTTCGCGTCCAACTATTGCATACATCTACTGATCAAGCGGTACATGAATTCATTTTCCGGTCGTGAGTAATGAAGTCCTCTCGACAACCCGGAAAGTTTATTCAAGCTGGCGTGTCCGCAACAGCCCGTTTGTTCATGAAACCCATCTGTCAGCTGTGGCTGCGAACGCACTTCCGTATGTGTAGTCCAGATAGCCAGGAAGGAAACACGACAAGAAAGCCCGATATCGGTTTGATATTTCTTTTTTTAAGATACTGTATTTAGATCAACTCCTTTTGATTGTTTACATGCATCAGACACTATTGAAGGTCCTGCGTGTGGGTTCCACTTCTACGAAGATAGAGTCATCCTCTCAGGAATTTTACCGCCGACCGTGTAAATCGGGAGTAAAGATTTCAACTCCCAACCGGAGTCACACCTGGAAGACAAATAGTCCGCACTACCAACGAGCCCCATGCAACACGAAACCATTGAGTCTTCAATCACAGTGATTTCCGTTGCACACTTATGCATTTAGCTGGTGGTAAACGAACGAAATCCCGAGTAGTGAAACTCATCACAAAGATCTTCGACAGGGGCTGGATATTTGGATCAGTTATATGTGTAAATCCCAATAAGATAAATTAACAAAAGGAAAGAACAGTGATCATCTAATTTCATCAAGTTTTCTTTTGACTCAACGTATAGAATCTTCATAGGGAGCCTTTTCTTCTGTCAGCTACGGGCAAGTTTAGACAAGACGATATGATATTGTACCACTTAGCCAATTTGATTAGAAATCGTTCCAGTTTCGAAAGGCACCTTCAGATTTAGTCTAGACGAATAGAAAATTAGACAGCTGGCAGATATTATTTTTACTTCCTTTTATTGAATATACAAAGATACGATTTTCAGTAAGAAGGAAGCGATCAATCAAAGGGTTGCCATTCAACGCACAATGAGGAAAAGTCAGTCGGTCGTCGTGGGTTTCAAACTCACATTCCCGGGGTGATAATTTGGTGATATTACCACCGAGCCACCACTGTAGAATAGTAACGAATAGTTGCTGCCACCAATGTCCTCCTTTTGTTTGTAAACTTCACTAGATGTTTATGTTAGGTGTTGTCTGGGCGTATTATAAAAGTTTCTCACAGGCTGCAAAGCATTCGGAGGAATTCGATCACCGCAAACTATGATTACATTCTGATGCGAGTGAAGTTAAATCGGTTTTTTAATAAACTCATCACAGACGAACAAACAGAAGGCACTGAGAACAATAGCGTGACGAAGGAACTCATTTTCAGTTATTCGTAATCATGTGATTACACAACATTAAATATGAGTAACACCAAACAAAATCAGGGAAGGAGAGATCCGAGCCCTAATAGGTCAGTGTGCATGTGTGCTTGTGTAAAATTGATCATGGTGTCAAAAGTTCGAGTGATTGCACACATCGCAGACACCTTTATGACCAAACTTGAGAACGACCCCACTGGAGCATCGTATCAGACAGCGTACGCTATACAGATGATACGTTGGTGATATATTATGCATAGCAGATACAATCGGTTGCCTGGAGAGTTCAATAATGTCTATCCGAACGTAAACTTTACTTTAGAAAAAGAAAAGGACAATAGTCTAGCTTTTCTTGATGTACTCATAAGACGCCGCAACCATAGTTCCGTTCAGTTATCGGTGCATAGGAAAGCAACGTGGAATGGACAGTTTATCCATGTCCATAGTTTTGTTCTTCTTCAGAAGAAGAGAAATCTCATTCACTCGTAGATTCAAAGAGCGAAGAAAATACGCATGACGGATACCATCGACAGCGACTTTCAGTTCTTACGTACTGTTTTTGTCCAGAATGGCTACCCCAAACGATTTATCAATAGGCCAATGCTAGAACACGAGGAACGGTCAAAGGAACTAGGAGCATTGAAGAAGTCTACCTATATGCATCTGGCGTTGAAGGAAGACACGAAAGTGGAAATCTTTGAAAGAAAGTTCCCAAGTGCAGTGGACAGAACATTTCACACTGCTTAATCAAAAGCTGCGTTCAAATTTAAACCGATTGTGTTTCCGACTACGGGACAGTGCCAGCTTCTACAGCCTGATTCTGTGTACGCATCCACCTAGTCCTGTGGAAGTGGGTAAATTGGCCGAACGACCAGGTACTTATCTGATCGCTTTCGCGAACACCTCCCGGCTTGGCTGAGGACTGGAACAATTACGACAACCGCGAGCGTTGTGTCCGCATCTCGTTGAGTCGCATCACTCGGTGAATGTGGGCATTCCGAAACGATTTACAAAGTTCAATGTAGGCAATCAAGAACAGTGAAGCATCGTATATTAGCCACGGCCGGTGTAAGTATTCATATTCACAAAACCTGCTTTGTGCGTCCGGAAGAAATTTGTGCGAACGCTTAACCTCCCCGGGCCCACTTCATCCACTCCAACACGTGTACAATCACTTGAACTTTTGACACCATGATCAATTTCACACAAGGACACGTGCACACGTGATTGGAGCGGGAGCTGAACCATTGGCACTCGAATCTACCATGCCCTTTTTGCTTGTTATATTTAGTGTTATGTAATGGCCTGATCACGAATAGCTGAAAATGAGCTTGTTCGCCACGTTGTTGTTCTCAGTGTGTTCTTTGGGACTAATGAAACGTTTGAAACGGAAAGCAGAATAGCCAAGGGGCGAAACGAAAAATCATAAAGGAACGGCCAACTTATTTCACAGAAGAATACATTTTTCGTGACTGCTCCGAAGCGAATCGGACCGAAATCATTTGTGGAGGATATTTTCCATGGAAATCTACACCGATAGTGGTAAAAGGAGCTATCCCAAACACTAAATATCGATCACCGCAGAAAAATATGTATTTTTGCGCAGGATAGACTAAGTATCGTGTTTTCGCGGACATTTTGAAGGAGGATGATTCATACAGTGTAAATGTTTGCCTTTCACTAACAGTGTTTTGTGAGCATCGGGGTTTGGAATATCTAAGCGTCGTTCAGACTCCATCGTTACACACATACTTATCAATTCATCCGGTCAACCGTACATTCCGGAAAGCATTCGACTGCAGTTTCGCATTAACAACGTCATCCTACTCGCAGTGCCGCGTCCGGACTTTGAACTCCGCATTCATCACATACAGGATACTTGTGTGTATTAATTGTGTTCAGCATAGAGTCCCGTCCCTAGTTGCAGACAGGGGGGGGGGGCTTATTTTAGGAGATCTCATCGTTAGTGCTAATAAACACGTATTGAAGAACTCGAAGATAGAATTCATTCATCAACCCTCAACAGAGTTCAGTTAGGAGTTAGTAGGATCACTTGGGGTTTGTACGGTTGAGATTCACAGGGTAAAATAAGCACTGGAGAGAAAAGGATACACTTAGAGTGTGTATTATTGATTTGATGGATTCAATACAAAAAGACTGGTAGATATTCTCGAAATTGGAAAAAATCCCTGAATGTAAAAGTCCCATATTTCTAATTCTCATTATGGTATACGAACTTCACTGAGTGTTTTTGAATTGATATATTCACTATTTTTTTGGTTCGTTGTTTTTCTTAGATGATCCTGAAATCGAGAATGAGTATAACTAGTGATTTGATATAGAGGTAAATATGTGATCGGAAAATGTAGAATAGGGTCAAGAAGAGAGTGAATAAAGCTCTAGGTAGTCCAAAAAGAATGAACGAGGAGAACGGGCTCGGCGTCCAAGAATACAGATTAGGACGATAAAGTGAAACTCACGTGGTGAAACAAATCCACCAGTATGACTCCGGGAATAACGTACAATCGATGAGTTTTGCATACCTATGTAGAAATTTGTTGAGGGTGGTGGTCACGTGATCAAGGTTGTTGAAGAAGAAACCCGTGGGTCATGAGTTCATTTCCCGCCACTGTTATCTATGAGCCCTATTTTTATATATCTTCAAGCAGCCAATGAATAGTCGTGCCCCTCATTCTTTCCGGAAGGTTGATTTCACATTTTTGTTCGCAATAAACAGAAATGGAAGTAAAAGCAGTTGTCTATTAATTTATTATAAACGGGGGTGAGTTGTAAGAGAATTTCACAGACCACTAAGTACCAAGATTTGGCATATATCTCTAGTTCAGTATGTAGTTTAATAAACTACAAAGGAAATTAATATCATTTCTTCCATTTGCTGTTCATTCACATTTCAGAACTTTACTTGAGTCACAACTGGAGGAGATGGAAAAGTTTCACAGCGCTCGAATGGCCGGTTTACATGAGGCCATAAAACAGGTTCGATTTGGTTTAAAATGGACAAATTTCTTTCTTTACCAAGACTAGGTGAATAAATGGTTCACACCGTAGATACAGATAGTCTGCCAGCCCCCGCACCCTACCCCAGATGTTTCAAACTGATCAGAATTGCAATGAAATTCCCACGATGGGGGATTGAAATCGATGGGAGTGAAACAACCAAAGAAACAGTATCACATTGATAGCTATCAGACTCGTAATCGGTTCCAATGAGTGCTGTTGCCCGGTTTCGGCTGAATATGGCTTGCACATGCTAGCCTTCCGGAGACTGAGTGGAAGATGATCGGAAAATAATGAATATGCTGATAGGGTTTATCAACACTTACGACGACACGACAATTATCTGTGCGCAGAACTGATCTTTATTTGCGGTGATTTTACTTTATTTCAAACCAATGAACACAAGTGAATGTTGGAGACACAGTCAGTCGTGAATCCACGAGACTTCCACGGTCTAAGATAATAGCTTGATTGATTGGTAATTAGTCATCAACTGATCTTTGGCAACACAGTTAGTAATCTTACTTCCGTTCCCGTTCTACGCGATCGATTCCGAGATCACGTACAGTATAAGTAGCAGTAGCGATTACAGACTGCGATCATGCAGATCTGCGATCGTGCAGATTTCATAACAATGTCGGACTTAGGTAAATTTGGTTAGAAGACAAGAGACACAAACTATGTCGTTAACCTGACGACCTGTGAGTGAAAATATGAAAAGACGTTCGTATAGTTGTGCGAAAATGGTGCTCTCCCTAGGGTTTCTAGGAATGATTTAAGTGACCACAAGTTGTCTACAAAGGGTTTAACAATTACTGAGAGATCTGCGAACGTGTGGTCGCATGCAGAGCAACCGATTCTCTGCTATCGGCTTGAGAATAGATAGCTGCAGAGAAATATACCCGCTCATAACTGTTGCATGTAAGATCCTCTATATGTACAACATGTAACTGCCAGAGCTCGTGAATGCCTTAACCACCCTTAATAAGGTAGGCTAATAACTTCTTATGATTGAAGAAACAGCGCTCCATGGGCAACGAAAAACCGGAATATTAGCTTTTTAATCTATCGTTAAAATATATTCACCCCATCGCTATTCACGATTCACCGTTCTCTGAGAATCCTTCTTAAATTGTAGTTTGCAAATCGAATGTTATCTGAATGCATGCAACTGGAAACAACTACCCGATAACATTCTTTGTGAGGTCTTTATATCTGGTCGCCGTGCACGGCGCATGGTTACAGTTATAAAACAAAAGCACTTTTTTAATGCAAAAATTGTTCTCCATGTTGTATCTGCAACCCATCCCATCCCATTCCCAGTCAGAGGACGAAGAACAGACAATCACGAACGAAATCAAGGCATTGACCGAAAAATTGGAATGGATGAAGAAGGGTGTGTTTTCTCTTTCGTTTTCGTTTTTTTTTATCAATCAACACCGTTCTTTTGGTGCCACTGTACTGCCAAGGCCATTAACAACAACAACGCGGGGAGACTATTTGTCACGGTGCACCAATTTGGATGAAAGAGAGCACAATTACACACGTACTGATAACGAACACAGGGGGCGGGGGTACAAGGATCAATCATCAAGTTTTTATTATGTTGTCAAAATAAGGGGAAACTCTTTGAATTAAGGAATGAATAGCCAACCCTCAAATTATCAGTATACTAACCGACGGTGAAGTTTCGGATAGAAGACGAATTAATATGTGCACATAAAAGAGAATGGCAGCGGAATAGCAATCTGAATCAATGCTGACGAAGAGAACCCTGAACAAATAAATGAAGTGATTCCGGTTCTAAGAGACGAAGTAGTCGATCAAATGTTTAGTCACAGGAGACACTCCGAAAGAGGGTTAATTAGGCTTCATTGGTGGAGATGAACAAAAACGTTGGCATAATCCATAAAAGTCAACCAAACACATGGATGCAACAGAACGTACATTATGGAGAATGAGGATAAATTCCATTCGTAGGCAAATTGGAGGGGATCATTTGAGTCGTCACACAGGGGCAAAACATTTGCATAAGTTTTGAGAAAATCAGATGTATGCAGACAATGAGATGACACTAATCATCTTTTCTTAAGGATCATAGTTACTTGGGCGAACGCACCTCAACCGGGGATAGTTCGGGATTCGAGGCACTAGTTGAACAGGCGCGCAATAGGTGTTACACACTGCATAATAAATGTTGTTATTAGGAAGGATGATAACAGATCCGGGTGTGAGCTTTGTTGGCTTTGAGTTCGCTCGAGACCTGGAGAATATTGTCCGGAAAATAGTCTGCATTACAACAAATTTGAAAGATAGATGGATGGTACAGCAGCAAATTGAAAGCCAGGTTTTCAATGTTCGAACGAGAACTGGTGCGTGAGTCACAGCATTACCGTGAAATGGGTTACATCATCATACGACAATCCTCTTCTTAACCCGAAGTTCACTCACGCCTAATGGAGTTGATCTCTTTGGCACGATGAAGTCACCTAGGTTTGTGTGTGTGTGTGTGGGGAACCTATCGGTTTCACTATAATTAATTTTATTTTAGTAAAACTAAACCTTTTTCAGTTTAAGCTGTCCGAGTACCAATTTTAGATGTCATGTTGTGATGTGGATTGTACTTTGCACAGTACAGAGTGAAAACGTTCGATGGGACCGCTGTTTACCCAGATCCATGTGCGTCCTACCTGCATACTGATCTATGATCCCCGAAAGTTGCTCGTTTGCTTGGTCAAGTAAGAACTGTGGTCATTGTGTGAGAGACCCCATCAAACCCTAAAGCGCTCCTTTTTGTTTCGTATTCAACCAAGCTATCGTCGGTTTGCACAAGGTGGCATAGCTCTACCTGAATTGTGGATTGCATTGTCCAGTCTGTGTGTGCAAACAAGCAGACAAAATCTTCGTCGGTGCATATTTTTGTTGAGCGTGGGACGATATTTTCGTGGGCCATAGATCAGTATACAGGTAGGACGCACATGGATCTGGGTAAACAGGGGTCCCATCGAACGTTTTCACTCTGTACTGTGCAAGGTACTATCGAAATAGCAACATGACATCTAAACTTGATACTCGGACATCTTAAAGTGAAAATTTTTTAATGTCTTCATTTTTTGACCGTTTTTGCTGCTTCCGCTTCAAATATCGGACCACAGTGTGATCGGGACCCATTTCGCGGTTTGGCTATATTTTTGGTACTGCGGTTTATCTCACGATAGATGTCAGTTACGGATTTCCCGTTATTCGTAGTCCTCTTCCATCACGCTAGGGTTGGTAGCGACTTGTACTGGCCTAATTGGATGACTTTGTACTTTCAAGGTAATCGGGAGTGATGTGAAAATTATCATAGCTTATACCCGTCTGTCAACCATTGACTAACCGCTTCCCAATTGCCTTGCCGAAGTACAAACCTGTCGTTTTTATTGTACTCGTTTTAAAACCGAGTCGGGTTTGTGATTCCTATGCTGGGTGCAGCAACTTCGTAGTGAGGTTTAATATATCGGGGTTGAGAGTATCACGGACTGTAGGACCATTCGTGAAGTTAATAATATGAAACCTACTCAGGAAACAGGGCTTGTAACGAACTAACGTACAACTAGTGTTACCAATTTTTATATGAAACACCTATAGAGTGGTTTTATTCCACTTTCTGTGACCACTTCGCCACCTCTGCTGCGAAGATTCACAATCCTATCGCTCCTGAAACTATTGAGTGTGTGTAGTGTGATGTATTTATCCCCAATGCCTAGATTTAGCCAACATTGTTCAAGTAAAATAATTCAAAAAGTTTTGCATGGTCTGGAAAACACCAAATGGTTGATGCTCTTGCTTTCCCCCCACGTGGGAACATGTTACCAGAATCGTATCGAAGTAATCGTTATTTGCCTGAGTGCAACCCACTAGCCAGCACGCTGCTTGGTTTGACTACCTTGAATTTTATTTCTCCACCGTTTGTTTTGGATTCCTCACGGAATGAACAAGAGGCAAAAATGTTTTGTGGGATACAAAAAGATGCGTAGCTGCGTAACTACAGAACAACATTGGAACTTTATAATTAGACGCATTGTTGTTAAAGTTTATTTTAAATGCGGAATAGCGAGTAATTACTGCAAATTCGGAAAAGTTTTCCGGCTCAGATATGTGACGACTAAGTTCAAGCACCGCGCGTGTCGAACTGTTGTACGCCCACAACGGGTGGCATGAAACTAGCATAAATAAACGAAATCAGACTTGGTACTGTTTGTCAATCGTGCGTACCTAGCCTTATGGGTTCTCTTTGTTCACACGCATTTACTGTACCTCAGAGCAATCATAAAGTGCGTTTAGCCACAGGAAGTCCACGTTGGATTCTCTGTTCAATTGTCCTCGTTTTGAAGAACCTCCGTTCAATTATTTGTCGTGATTATAGGAATCCAAATTTTTCGATTGTTAAATTCGGAATTAGAATGGAAGATATAGAAAAGAATTTAAGAGCGAAACGTCCTAACAGGTGATGACTCATTGTTATTTTCAACAATCTTAAACCGAGCAATTTAGTTAACTCTGTTTATTATAATCAGGTCTTATCAGCTTTTCATTTCTATCGTATTACTGCTATGACTTATTTACCATATAAACATATATTTTCACACCTGTCCGAGACCGGACTATGTGCCAAACAAGTCACAGTATAAAAATGGTTTGCTTGCGGGCAGAATACTGTCAGGATATCCCAGCCAAAGCAGGTGAGTTTTCTCGGGGAATTTACTACCGAAGCCTTTGGCTGGCCAACCGCAAGGCGGGGTGTGAAAACTGTACTTTCGTGGGGGCCGAAGTCCAGTTCATCGTAAGATATACCCTTTGAGACGGGGTCAAACGTCAAAGGTGCCTAATACACGTCGACACCCAATCGAGCTGGTGACCACTGCCACAAACAAAAAGGTTGAAGTGGGTGTAGTTCGTGCACCTTTACCTGATTGATTCGGATCTAGGTATTCTGT